GCTACCGCCCCCCACCCCCGCCTGGTCTGCAAAATCTTCACCTCGTATGTTCCGGCAGGAGAAAGCCCAGGCCCTGGAACAGTTTAAACCACTGCTTACCTTCAGCCTTAACTCCAGACGGACCAGTCTGCGGGTCACTGGGATCGTCGGGATATTCCAGGTCGTTGTTGGCGGGAATTGCGATCTCTTAGAGTATAGTTACACTGCTATCTTCTTTTGTTTTTTAATCCTTTTCTATGCACTACAAACCTACTGGTGTCTGCCATTTCTGTAAAGACACGATGTCTTTCAGTCCGGGCGTTGTACGTCAACTGGTAGTACACCGTGATCTCGTATATTTAGTAAGCTTGCTTCGTTATTTTGTTGATATTTCGCAGTGAAATCGAAATAATTGTTCTCACGACCTACACACTGTCTAGCCATGATGGAAGTGATTTGAATTTCAAAAGGCTTCTCCTAGGCCCAGCTTCTATTGTCACGTGATGATCTATTCCATATCTGATTGGTTCTATTGAGTGTCTATGTTCACGTCACGTTCATGCATGAATCTGTTTGGCTCATTTGATTTCCCTCGCATACGTCATCCGCTACAAATCCGTCCGATTTCCCGCCGCTTTTAACGACTTTTTGTCATTCTGTCGCGGCGTTGGAGGTGGAAGGTTACTGCGGCTCCTGGAAATCGTGGATTTAATACCCTCCATAACTCCGATATTATCAATTTTCGCAGAAAATGGTATAGAAGAAAACTTTCATAGAATGATTCTTTAAATTGGGTGTGGGGTTGCATTTCCAATAATACCCCAAGATATATCTGCACCACAAAAGTACTGCCGTTACTTCGCGAATTACGACTACCGCCGCAAAAACCTTTGGCATCCAGTCAGCTTCATATCAAGGAATCACGGTTATTCTTGAAAAAAAACTACCGGTCTGATACTATTGCTGAAAGTATGTATTCAAATAAATCATTACGATGCTTCTGAAGGTCGTTTTCCATTATCCATTGTCAATCTGAAGTTTCCGGGAATTAATAAACAGCTGTAACTTTGGGTTGCAAGCTAAATAATAGTAATAATAATAATAATAATAATAATAATAATAATAATAATACAACAACAATCATAATAATAATAACCAAACAAGTAACTTACAGTATTTTTCATGCTACACACCGACTGAAATTTCCTCATTATGCGAAATACAAGCAGTAATATAAGTCTCACGCATACTGAACACACGCATGTAAACAATCTATCCCACCTTGACTTAATAAAGTATCCTTAAACGGCAGTCGCATAACAATATTAATAAAATAATGGTTGATTTATAAAAGAACCAAAAGATTCTGATCTAATGGAGCACTTCTGAATCGCTAAAATAACAAATTTTAGACGGTGGAAAGGTTGAGATTACTTGCAGAGCAGTACAGTTGCTCATAACTCTGGCGCTTATTTCAAGGCCACTTTTCATCTTCGCTTCCATTGTTATATATGATTATTGCTCAATATCCATGAAACAGTACGACTAATGAATTTAGGATAAAATAAAACTCAGATTCATTAAAAAATATATTATTAACAAATTTGTACATTTTGACATTTATTCTATTAGCTTACAGTACGAAGGTTACACAAAAAACCTTTTGAATACTGAAGTTGCAGCCATTTCAGAGCGAATACATTTGGAGCAAATTACTTACATTATTATACAATAACATACATAACATTGGCATTCGCAGTGAATACTATATACATCATATGACACCACACTGTCAAGATTAGAATGAAGAACCAAGCTTGACAGAAATCACACGAACTCATCGTCTTCTTCCTCATCATCGGAATGAGTGTTCGTCTGACTACTCTCCTCAATGTGTGGCTCTAGTAGCGACCTAATAGCCGGAGACAATGAATTATATTTGACTAGGGATCTTGGCCTATGGTATGCCGCTACCATTGGATCGGATTTTGCAAGTAACCAATGAATTAGATCCGTGTTGACTTGAATCCTCGATGATTTGCGGGTGTGATGTGCCCTGGCTTCTATGCCCTCTTTTGAGGCGTGTCCTATGCATAATGCCTCAATAACATGCGACCCATGCATCAGCATCTTGTGCACTGGAACCGGCATCTCGTACCAGAAATATAGGTCTACATATAATTTCGCTGTTTCCTCAGCATATGCCTCGTATGCTTTGGCGTTGACGGTGTAGCCTGAGTTCAGAGCAAACAGCAAAACGGAAAAACGCCTGATCAGTTCTTCATCTACACCTGTTATTGCTGAACATTTGATGGGATCAGAAAAGAATCTTCGAGCTACCTTCCCACAGTTTGTGTTCCCACGACCTTGGGATAGAAGGCGTATATTAATCCCAAGGTGTCTTTTGAATTCAGATTGGATGCGTTCCTTGTCCTTGGCCATGATGGATTTACTCACTTTCCCCCCGACACTCTGTCGCTTCAAATGATAGGCTAAGTGTAATACACATTCTGTCACATCT